AATACGGTCATGTGTGCAATGTGCATATGCGCAATAATATCCTGTGTACAAAGTATTAATATAATTTCTTATTTTGCGTATTTTTTACGGTCATGTGTGCAATGTGTATGTGCGCAATAATATCCTGTGTGTAAATTGTTAATATGATTTTCTTATTTTGTGTATGCTTTACGGTCGTGTGTGCAATGTGTATGTGCGCAATAAAGTCATGTGTGCAATGTGTATATGTGCTATATGGTTATGTGTGCAATGTATATGTGCGCAATGTGTATGTGCTCAATAATATCCTGTGTACAAAGTGTTAATATGATTCCTTTATTTTGTGTGTCCCTTACGATCATGTGTGCTATGTATATGTGCGCAATAAAGTCATGTGTGCAATATAATGTCTTGTGTGCAAACGTACGTTTGTATTTTTAATTATTAAATGTGCGCAATAATATTATGTGTGCAATCTGTATGTGCGCAATAATATTATGTGTGCAACGTACGTTTGTATTTGTAATTATTAAATGTGCGCAATCTGTATGTGTGCAATAATGTTTTGTGTGCAAACGTACGTTTGTATTTTTAATTATTTAAATGTTGCGCAATAATATTATGTGTGCAATGTGTATGTGCGCAATAATGTCATGTGTGCAATCTATATGTGTGCAATAATGTCTTGTGTGCAAACGTACGTTTGTATTTTTTATTTTTAAATGTGTGCAATAATATTATGTGTGCAATGTGTATGTGCGCAATAATGTCATGTGTGCAATCTGTATGTGTGCAATAATGTCTTGTGTGCAAACGTACGTTTGTATTTTTAATTTTCAAATGTGCGCAATAATATTATGTGTGCAATGTGTATGTGCGCAATAATGTCATGTGTGCAATCTGTATGTGTGCAATAATGTCTTGTGTGCAAACGGTACGTTTGTATTTTTAATTTTAAATGTGCGCAATAATATTATGTGTGCAATGTGTATGTGCGCAATAATGTCATGTGTGCAATGTGTACGTGCGCAATAATGTCATGTGTGCAATGTGTATGTGCGCAATAATATCATGTGTGCAATGTGTATGTGTGCAATAATGTCTTGTGTGCAAACATACGTTTGTATTTTTAATTTTTAAATGTGCGCAATAATGCTTGTAGGCAATCGCTCTGTAGGCAATCGGGAATGTCGGCAATTGAAGCTGTCGGCAAAATGTTGTGGGCAAACGAAGCTGTTGGCAAATGGGAATGTAGGCAGTTGAGACCCTCCCCATATACATACATGTTGAATATATAATTATCTTTATTTAGTATTTTAAAAATTAATGAAATAATAAATGTTCATTATTTTAGTCATAAGATGCAAAATAAAGATAACTATGTATTCAATATATGTGTAAAAATAATATGTGTATAAATATGTGTATAAATTGATTTAGTTAATTTTGTATTTATTACATAAAGATAAAAATAATGAAAGGCATATGACATTTATCTTCAGTAATATATATAGTATTATATGTATATTTTTCATTTATTATTTTGTCATATTTAGTTCATATTTATTTGACACCTTGTATATGCCTATGTCTTCTCGGACATTATATTGCAGCCTTGCGACGAAATTTCTGTCAAGGAAACAAGCGCAAGC